CGAGCGTTGTCCGGGGGGCGTCCTGAAGGGACGGACAAGCCACGTAGCGAGCAGGCAACGCCCTACAGCCAGCTCACCACAGAAAGTAAGAACAGCCAACAAGGGTCCACATCCAGAGAAACACTTGTTCCACCGAAGCCCTTCACCTGGACAGACAGCAGGACGACTGGGAGCCGCAGCGGCGACCCTGCAGAAAAAGAAAGGAAACATTAAAGCATGCGTCAAACAGACACTGAAACGCATCACACCTAAAGTCAGTAACATGTCTCAGCTAATACGTTCTTTTACGGCTTATAGAGCCAGAGAACTGCATCAAGATTAAAGGTTGACAAATCATGTTTGGACTAGTGTTCAACATATCACAATATCAAATGCATCACCAAGATTTAAAGATGACGACTTAAGGAGCAGTTTCATGTAACTTAGTTTAACGACACCCATGATTGAAGCCTGTGAAGCTGAAGCCACCCCGTCATAATTTGTTTAGGATAAACTCATTGGCTGAACTTAGCGTACGCTAAGTATGACGCTGGCTTCAGTTCTCATGCAGCCAGTCAGTTTACACAAATCAATTGGAGTGACTTCCAGCTACAATGGCATCACGAAGACTAGAAATCAAGTTCAAGAAACATTCAACAACAAACAGAATATTGAAAGTGAACTATGCGTGGCAGGAATGGTCACGTGGTACCAAGCATGCCATACTGATGAACTTATTTCCAAGAGAAGAGACATGAAATTGGAGAACTAATCAAGAAGTACTTTGAAGGTGGGGTGCGCTGCGTATAGTTACACAACACCAAAACACATGTAAACAAATAAATGGGCCAGAGAGCGCTGCATGAGATCAAGGCAGCAACTGTAGCCTTGCCACAATAGTAGAGAAAACTCAAGACAATACACAGCAAATAGCTTACCGGGTCTCCTACTGCTCGCAGTGCTACTGAACTGCCACCCCGCCCGTAACGCTCAGCGGCCCCAAAGGCTTGTCCTCCTGGAAAGAGGATAAGAAACGATCAAATTAGTTCACCCATTCAGACGAGCGCGACTGTGCGCAGCTCCCAAACTTGGATGAGAACCGAACGTGGTTTTGATTTGCAAGGTAGCCACATTATACTACAAACCAGCCAAATTAAGTTCAAATCAGAGATGGGGAATGATGCGCAAGCCCTGCTCAAATTTACATGCTCAAACTGTCTAGGAACATCCTAACGGACAGACGAATACACCATGTGGAGTGGTGAGGTTAGTCCCAGACCGGCTGACCGGCACAGAGAGTTTTCGTTGAAAGACAAACACATCAGCAGGATATCGAGAATACTTACTTAGCTCATCGGAATGAAGCTGAAGCACTCCTGCCATAGCGACGTTCACAATGTGACATGTTGACCCAGTAGCACAAATTGAATGAGAGAACTGTCATTCATTCTGTTTTAACCCTTTCTTCTTCTTTCCAATTTCTTCTTGCTTTTCCCATAGACCACAATATTGCCAACCTCCATCATTATGTCAACCTGGTGTGATTTTGGACAAAAAATAACAAAAACCTGCATCCTTTTCGGCGTTCTCGTGCAGTATTTTTCCTGTGATGTAAAAAATTGCCCTTTTCACATGTGGATTGTCGAGCTGTAATGAGTCTTGTCACCTTCCTGCTAGTCGTCATCTCACGCTTTCTCATAGGTCTTGTCCCGCCGTTCATTTAAATCGTCACCCTCTTTCCCTCTTTTCTGTTCTTCGATTGTAGGACTTTATTTAAGGGTTTACATGTATTATTTTGGCCTTGCAATGATTTCACATTGGTCAAACAAATTTATTTGAGTTCTCGATTCGTCACATTGCCGTCCGGGTCATTGCTAATTGTGAAAGCTCTAGTCCATTTTGTTTGGTTTTCCGATGTTGTCAGCTTCATGTATCTGCATTTTCGGGCCAGCATGAGCGTCGACATAAGGTCTCAGAGTTATAGCTTCAGCTTTAGTTATAGCTAGGTACTCGACCAAAAAGGGTCGCCGTTAGGGCAATCTCAGCAGAGAGTGAATGTAAATTTTCAGCTGAATTCTCTGACAGTGTTTTAAATGAACTAAACAGGATCTAGGAGGAGCAGCAAATTTAAGAAACTGCACAAAACACAGGGAGAATATCTTCTTTTTAAGGTAATCCATTACAATTATTTTTGTTTGTTTTAATCGTTTTATTAAGTGACTGAATATCAATTATACGATTCTATAACAAAATCACTTAACAATCACAACTGGTTATGCTTTTAGCAGCATGAATTAACAAGATAGTTATACTGTGGTTCTTTCTATAAGAGGCTGCTTAAGATTCAATATTAGGTTTTGGAAAATTGTCAGATATTTCTTAACAATCTGTTCAGCAGAAGTACATCTATTGTCCAAACACACAGAGAAGACACACAAAAAAATGTCTTTTAAGAACATTGTTTCAGCTAAATTAGAAGCAACTAGATAGATAATTACTTGGTAGGTATACCAGGTACACAAATTTTTTATCAGCAATGACTACAATAAAAAGATATTGTTTAAAGATTCACCTAGTTGTTGCAACTAGCAAACTTAGCTAGCTTTACATATTAGAATAGAAAAACAGTTAATGATTACATACAACAGCAATAAGAAGATGCAATGAATAGATAAGATTCTTACAGTATTTGCTTACTACTCATTGTCCTCAATTTTAGGATCAATATCTTTATGAAAATATAACCAGATGATTACGGTAGGTAGGACAAGCTGATCAAATTAAGATCAGCACTCAACCTTGAACTTTGACAATTTAAATGTCTCACAGCTTGGAACCATTCAAGAGGGTATTTTTTCTCATATTAGAACAAAGAGGTTTTCTTTTTTTAGAAAATCTGTCTTATTAATAGCTTTTTAATAATCTTTTAACAGTATAAACTTGATTCAAAGTTAACATGAAACAGAATAAATCAATAATCAAGTTTTTATAACAAGTGTGGTCTTTAAACACATATTTCAAGTGTTCAGAAATTAGAAAGGCAAACAGGAAAGAGACCAAGTGTTTTTCTAAGCTACAGTACGTATCAAAACTGAAGTAATAGTTTTAAGGAGTGACTAGTGCATCAATAAAACAATTGTTGTCAATTAATGCTCTTCTACATGAATGAAGTGTAGTACACTACCGATTGAACATAACACATTCAATTAAAATATGTCCTATCAATATAAAAATAAGTGAGGCCTAGGCAAACTATGCAAACAAGAAACAACATACACAGAAGATTTCATGAACTCTAGAATAACATCAGAAGGCCCCACACTAAACATTAGTCATAGATATGTAGGAATATCAGTCTCACTTTGCCACCACATTGCAAAAGATTTCATATCACTCAAAAATTCACACAGCCCACATAGACATTATTTGGTGTAGCTTACATTAGAAAATGAGAAAACAAGGAATAAAAGAGAGGAAGTAATAACATTACACCTATGGTAACAACACAATGAGAGGGAGCAATTTTTTATGCACCAAGCAATATCAATGCCACATACATACATATATATATATATATGCTTTTCACAAATGGAATGCATAGAAACAAACAATAAAAACGTAGATCAACAATACAATTAAGTTGCAATGAAGGACTTACATGTAGGGGAGCATGTCCCCACCCCGAGAATATACATAAAATCCTACAAAGAAGGTAGCCGACGCAAATAGCAGGCGCATGGAGAGCCGCTGCTGTTGAACTACCCATGGAGGCATCCAGCGGTTGAGGGTCATCATTGTGCCCCCAATCCTATCATGGACCTCTGCAAGCTGCCATGACCCATGGCGGTGACCTCGGCGACGACGTAAGAGGCGCTGACGCATTTTCTCCCTGGCTTCCATTTCATGAACTCGAAGCTGCTGCCTGCAAGTACACACAACTTCTTAGAGACAGGGTAACACTGAAAATGTAGTGTGTTCTACAGATCATTCATGATTGGTAAAACTGCTGTGTCGTGTTACTGAACCAGTTAAGAGCACTTACTCATTTTTGAACCTCTCCTCCACTTCTCTTTCAATGCTCTCTGGAGGGAACTTGAAGTATAGTTCAGTTGCATCCCGCAGAAGAATTTCTAGAGGAAGTGTGTCTGGTATGTGTGAAAGTAGAGCATGAATGGCGGCCATATCACAGTCTACAGCCAGAACCTCATCAGCTCGATGAGCTACTAGAACAGCTGCTACGTATAGAGGGGCAAGAGGAGGCGAAGCAAGGAAATGATCATAGAGACGAACAACATCCTGGTATCGATCCAAGCTGTGGCCAAACCAAGTCAGGAACCATGGCAAACAAAACATGGTACCAACTTCTGACCTAAAAGAAAAATAGAGATAAGAGTAAAAGAACAACACTCACAAGAAATACATTTTGAGAAAGTGGAGTTAATATGAATAATACCTTTCTAAATATTCTGCCAAGGTTGGATGGAGACGGTGAAGCAGTGGATAGATAAAGTGAAGTAAATAAGATGTGCGCTCCATGGTTGGTTGCATACAATCAGACAAGTTCTCAGTGGACAACCTTTCCATAATCTGGAAAGCAACACTCTCCCCGACCACTAGCAAAAATGTCACTGCCACATCATGATAACCTTGGTAATACCGAAGATGAGGATGCTTCGATATCACATACATAATTAGGCGAGTAAGTTTGTCTTGAAGAGTTTCTCTTTGATCAGCAGGGATATCAGGAGGAAATCTTTTGAGAGAACGGTTTACATCCAAAACAACTTGGCCATACTCTGGATGTGACTTCAGATCTTCCAGTAAAGGTGCATCAACCTCCAAAGTGGGGTCTAATCCCAACATTCGTGGCCAAGCTTCACGGCGCAGTGTGTCTGAAAATTAAGAAGACAACATTGTCTAAAAGAACATTAAGATAAGGTAAAACAAAAAAAAATATTTTCATACAATAGAAAGCATACCATTTATAAGACCACCTTCAGTCAGAGCAAGCTTACAAAGCTTAACAGGAACATCTTCATCAGATTCTAAAACCTCCCTTATTAATCTTTGTTTCTCTCGCATTTCTGGTGTATCTGGAACTAGAATTAAAGAAAAATTGAATAATTATATGAATGTAATCAGTTATAAGCAATATGTCATTTAAGTGCATGGGTATAAATTACAGATACAGAAAAAAATTATAGCATAAAACATCCTTGTAAAAATGGGTAATGTTAATTCAACTACAAATTTACAAAATTCTTGTAAATATTTTCTATTATACTAGGTTAAAAGAAAATGTCGCAAATCTCATGCACTCAATGCAAAATAATCATAAAGAAAATAAAACATGAAAAATAAATAAAAGAAGCTCTACGATACCTTCTGACTCACCCCCATTGGCCCATTTCTCAGCCATTCTCTTCTTTTCTTCTTGATTACTTAAATCATATTCTGGATGTCTCAGAACTAAGGCTCTACATGTGTTCTCCTCTGGATTGATGTTGCCACCTATTGCTGTAAAATGTTTTCTTTCATCTCGAACCAATCTCTCTTTCGCAAGAAAGGCTCCAACAGCATCCTCAAAAGCATCGCTGTCTGCTTTCAGAGGGTCATCAGAAAAATCCAACTTATCCTTATCAAAACTGGGAAATGAAGCAGAGGTCCGCATCTTCCTTGTAGGACGATCTTCTAAAGGAACAGTAGTGTCAACCATATCCTCATCTTCCTCCTCAACGCTTTCAAAGACACTAGTACATGTACTAGCTCTCTGGATTTCATAATAAACATCATCTTCAATTCTGAAGACACTAACACTTTTACCAGTATCAGAATCAACCTCTCTGTTTCCAATAGTATGAGCTATTCTATCATAAGCTAAAAGATGATCATCAGATGGATTATCAGGTATACTACAGAATACACTTACATTTCTTCCACTTTCAAAATCCATAAAATGTTCTGTAAGCATTTCTCCACAAGGGGTAGCCAATTCCTCATCTTCTTGAAGAAAATCTGGATCAAGTACAAGACCTTTCAGTTTCATAGGACTTGATTCACTAGATGAGGACTCCTCATACTTTTTCACGGCTTCTTCCAACACACCATCAACAAAAATGCTTGCTTCAGATCGGATTCCTAGGTCAGAACAAGTAAGTAAACTGCTTCGGGCAGAATCAGAATTACCATTTTCTGATGATGAAGTTCTTCCCGATTCTTCTTTGGTATTAACATCAACTAAACTATTACTTTTGCTAATCTCTCCAGAAGGGTTTTCTAAAGCACATCTGCCGTTAATCTTCAGATCCAATTCGGAGCTAGTATTGCTAAGTGAAGAAATATCTTCATTACCAGGCAAATCTGCAACCATTTGACTGCCATCCTCACCAGCTTTCATAGCATGTTCAGATGTTGGGGAAGTACATCTACTTGAACTGATTTCAACTGGTCCATCAAAAGGAAAGTCAACACTGCTTTCGCTGTTTTCCTGAGGAACATCATCTATAATGTTTTTATCATTAGATTTAAGGTTTAATTCTAAATTTGCCATAGCAGCATCAATTTGTTCAAGAAATGGTTCTGATGCTGGAGGATTTGTTCCATCCTCAGGTTCACCTACTTCATGTTTCAATGTTGGTGATTTGAATTCTTCAACTACATAAACTTCAGGAGAATCCTTGTCATATGTTAAATTTTCCAGAGACAGGTTATCATTTGAATTTGAGAGTATTATTTCAGTTTCTGTTGAAGAAGGATCTACTCCAGCACCATGTTCCCCTTCATGGTCAAGGACTGTTGAATCCTCTTCTGCCTGGCCATAATCTGAGAGTGGTTGATCCACACTACAAACAACAGGTAGAAGAGCTACTGAAGGAGGCGAGATTGGTCTTCTGTCTATGGACTCTGGCATAGGTTCTGGTAATATTAAAGGCTCTGTTGTAACATCCTTTGGACTGTCTTTTACATTAGAATTTTCCAACATTTCTTTTTTGCATTCATTATGAGAAGAAACCTGAGCCACAGCTCTATTAAGTACTTGATTAATTAGAGTGTGAGCAGCTGAGACTGCTTCAACACGGTTCGATGTAGAGTTTGCCGATGATATCAGAGTCTCTTCAGCCTTGAGTATTGCAGTGCCAAGTATATCATCCACTAAACTGGAGGCAATTTGTTGAGCATTATCCAGTAAAGATGCATTGTACTGTTTAGAAATTGCAGGACCTGTATTTGTTGCCGTTACAAGACCCATAAAATCTGAAAAACTCATGCTGTGAGTTTGTTTTGCCTGCAAATTATTTGAATCAATGTTTGGCAGTGATGTTGGGCGCTTAATTTGACCAGTAGAATTTTCTAAGAGTAAAGGGACAGCATCCATGCTTTTAGTCACAGTTTCAGTAACTTTAGTTTCTAGATTTAAGTCTTTCATATTTTCAGTACATTTATCACTATCAAGATCTTTGGACATGTCTGCAGAACTTGCAGTATTTATTAAAAATGCATCATCGGCAATATTTTCTGAATCATCTTTTGCTTCTGAAGTAGTTTTAATTTTGAATGAAGGCATCATATTTTTAACAGGGCTGAGATCTTCTTTTATACCAGCTTCAACAGTTGTTAAAAGCACAGGTCCATCTGCAAGTGAAGAAAGGTCCTCATTCAGAACTGGGTTGTCAGCATTTTCGATTTCGTCAACCAGTTGATAGAGATCAGGCAGTGACGGTTTGAAACATGCTTCATCTTGAGTTTCATTTGAATTATCACAACCTTTTGTTTGTGCTGGTTTATCAGTAAGAGAGACACAGTTAGATGTCATGGAATCAACCCGAGAGGAAACACTGCTTGTAGGTTCTTTGGTTTCTGTATGTCCACAGAAGTTTTTCTCTTCTTCTAAAGTTGTGGTGATGTTTATAACGTCGTTAATCAGTGAAATAGGTGAGGAGGAAATTTCTTCAGCCTGTACATCTTCATTGTGTGATGATGTCACAGTGGTTGTCACATCGTCTATGTGCGCAATAGCTGGAATGTCTGAAGTTGATGAAATTATGGAGGTATCCTCAGATGAAATGGTTGGAGACATAACTTCATTAAAAGTTGACACCACAGAGGCTAAAGAAATAACTTTTTCTGAAGTTTCCTGTAAAATTAAGTTGTCTAGAGATGAAGAATCAGCAAAAGTGGTAACACCTGTAGATGCTGAATCAGTCATTAAAGATTCAAAAATAGTGGAATCAGAAGCGGAATCCTTCTGAATTTGAGCTTCTGAGAGTGGACATTTTTCTTGAATAATAGTTGGTGCCAAGACGATGCAGCTGTCATCCACCATATTGCTTTTGGGTACTAAATCTTTGTACTCTATATCTGTGCTACGAAAATCAGCTGGTGTTATTTCTTGAGAGTCCTTCACGTCTTTTCCTAAAGATATATTAACATGATTATGTATATCTTTGTTCCCGCCATTCAAGTCAACATTACATGTATCCAGTTGAGCTGCTGACTGAATTGCATCATCCAGAGATTGACAGTTTAGTGATGGTTCATGACTTATGCATTCCTGATCAAGACTTTCTACATCTTCACTTGAAGGTGAAACATGAGGAGAGTGAGAAATTGGTTCTGATATTACTGATTGATTGCCAAAACTATCCTCGTTATCAACATAATTGATGCGATCCTCGTGCGAAAGTACAATATTACTTGAAACTGCAACACCCATCACATTTGGAACTAAGTCTACACCACAAGCATTGGCATCCTCGGAATTGGTAGTCATTTGCGAAAAACTTCCCTCTACTGCAGATGACGCAGTTTTGGATGAAAGATGCAATGGGCTTGAATGACATGAGCTTGCTGATGAAGAAGGTGCTTCCACCACAATTTCTGGGGATGGACTTCCTGGTGCAACAGAAACTTCTTTAGTAGATGTATCTAAAAGGTTGATGAGACTTGAAGAATTGGAACCTTGAGAATGTTTCGACGGTGAGTCCATTTTAATATCACAGGAAAGGCTAGATATTGTTGCAATACTTTTCTCATCATCATCTTCTGCAGGTTGTTGAATTACATCATAGGAAACTGTATCAAAGTTTATCAGATCAGAGGACTGTGATTCTGTGTCATCAATAGTAATTAGTGGATCCATGTCATCATCATGTGGATGTTCAATATCTTTGTTGCCAGGACTGATGGTTGAATTCATCTCAGAATAATTTCTGCAGTCTTCGACGGAGTCTCCAGCACCACTTGCTTTCAGCATATCAACACTTTTTGGTACGTCACTCACTGGGCTACTGCTTTCACTATTCTCACCACAACTGATGTCTCCGGTAGCAACAAGCACACTTTCTTCACCGTTGGATGATAGAGGCATTCCTCCTGATGGCACTGGTGCAGCTTCTTGACTGTCGCCACCGGATATTCTATCAGTCTTCAGGCCATATTGATCACTGATTGCAACTTCTTCCACTGCAGGCGGATGGCTCGGGGGTGTCTCGGCTCCATCCGCCGAACTTTGCCCCGTATCGTTCAGGGCGCCCTTTTTTTCTTGACACAAATGCGGTTCCATCGCGCGCAGGCCACGAGCAGCTCGCCACAAATTACACAACACCAACAAAGGTGGTCCGTTTCATGCCAGGAGAGGTTATCCAGACAAACGTCATATCAACAAAATGCCCATGACACATGCAGAAACATTTCGGCCGGGGCTCGTATCGTCCAGTTACAGCCTAGGCGAGTTAGAACAAACTTCCTCGAGGGTCACAGCATAATCAAGACACAAACAAGGAGAAAAATAACCGAGAAGACAGAAGTCTACGTCTGTGATGGTATCATCCTCCATGAAAATCGCGTACAACTGTAAATAAGGGCAGGAGTGTGCGCAGTGCACCTCTCACAAAAAGATGCATATTCACGTTCTCATTCGAGTAGCGGCTGATAATCTTCTCATACCGAGGGTAGCCGCCATATTCAAAAGGTAGCGGGTAGCGGGTCTCTCCCATGAGCTTTTCAAGCTACTACTTACTTACCCACCCCCGATCTCACCGATTAGGTCAAAAAGAATTTGTGACGATTTCATTGAGACAGTTTTTGAATCCGAGTTGGTACAAAATTGTCCTAAATAAATCTAAAACATTTTTTATCACACACGGAAAAGTGATAAGTGCCGAAAAACGTCAAATTTTTTTGTCCCTTTTCCTTGTGCTGTGCTTTTTAACTAGATTGTCCAGCCAAAAATGCTACATCTCGGAAACGTCTAAAGTTGATCCACTTGGTCTAGGTCTAATTTTGGGCCTTGTCTACGGGGGCGGACATGACTGTGCGAAATCTTTTGTTTGCCCCACACGGTGAATTGAGCTGGTCGCAGTTTCGGCGCAGCTTATTCTCGGCGCGCGTTTATGCCTCTCTGCTTGTCCTTTTCAGCACAGCAACTCACGGTCTCCCCCCCCCCCCCCGCACTCCGCTTTGACGTGAGCGGCGTGATGGTGAGTGAGGAGGAGGACAGGGTCCTGCGGGGGGCCGAGTCTGCGGGGCCTGGGGCCTGTGCCCTGGGGCAGGACAGGCACGACCCGTACGCAGTGACGACCCGGACACCCCGCCGGCCTGCCGACGACACCGAGGACCACGAGGACAAGGTGAGCGCCAGGGAAGTCCCACCGCGGAGCACCGGGCGCTCGGCTGCGGCTGTACCTCCCCGTTTAAAGTGCAAAAGATCCTCAGATCATTCGTCGTAAACATCGTGGGTGATAAAACTTTTATTTTTCGTCGGGTCGGTAGCATACTGTGGGGAATTTTCCGATCAGGGTCCGCTAATCCAGATTTGTTAAAACGTGTGTCTTTTCTCCCCTCCTCTTTGTGTAAGGTGCATGGGTGGTGCATCTCTGCTCGCGCTCCAGTGTGTTACTGCGGGTTTGAATACTCCCGCCTACTCCCTCCTACCCCGTCAGGCGCCGGCCTCAGCGACCCCATCGAGTATGCAGTCCCGCAACACTCCAGCTGGAGCGCAGTCAAAAGATACACCCGGTACACATATTTGAAAATAATTTTGCTGTAAACAAAAGTAATCTTAAAGATAACTTTAATTAACCAGTAATGGGGAGCCAAGAGAGTGAAGTTTGAAAGATGGTACGAGCGGTTTAATGGTTTCCCCTATGCCGTTGTTTATCGGTCGAAAAGTCAAGGCCCTGCTGTCTGATTGGAAGGGGATGCCCTGCTGGTCACTCGGGATACTCTTGTGATGTGTTTTTTTTTGTGTGTGTGTTTTTTTTAAAGCAAAAGAAACACACGAATACGTCCAAAAAAAAACAACATCGGTGTCAGTCGCAGAATGGCACCAACTCGATACGTCAAATTGGCGCGAATTGGCCCACATTTTGGTCAGGTTTATTCTTGGAAAGAGCCAGGATGACGTGTGTAGTGCGGCGTCCGTCACGCGGCACCCACTGCGCACCGTGCGCTGATAGTCGGGATAATCCGCCCGCCCGAAGGCTGATCCACCACTCGTCGCCTAAGCCGATGATCCCCGACAGCCACACGTCCAGGACTATCTGAGGAAATAAACGTGAGCCACTTCTGAGGGTCAAGAGGAGGGATATATGGATGGGGCGAGATGGAGAGAGGTGTGGTTGAGACGGGGGGGGGGGGGGGGGCAACCTAACGATGACCTAAGTGCAGGGTGAACCCCAGTTTAAAGACACGTAGGATACGGAGTGTATTTTTCAGGTTTATCTGAAGGGTGATTATGATTTTATGATGTCTCGTCAATACCGCCCCACCCCTCCTTTTTTTCTCTTTGCCCCTTTACACACACACACACACATGTCCCTATTTTGTGTGTTACTTGTTTTGTTTGATTGTTTTTTGTTTTTTGTCGGTGTGCCACACGTGGGCGCGACTTGGTCTGTGACACCTAAATTGGAGCCACTCCGCGACTAACTTAAAGAAGGTCGAGGTCGGTGGAGGCCACCAGATGAATTGTCCCTTCCTTCCCTCTCCCGCCC